ACACAACAGGACCTAACATTCAGTATATTGAACAAATCAATATACACTTCTAGAAGCAATGAACCTGGAGAAGATTCAACACAAAGAATAGTACCTGGTGTAATCCAAATACAGGCAAATTTACCTAAAGCAACAGAAGTACCTGAATTGCCTAGAAGATGACAGCACGACCAGCTGTCGAAAGCGCTCGCAGATAATCAAATAGAAGTCATAGAACTGTCACCAATACCCAAGGATTGCAAAAATATGAAAATTAGTTTTAGCTACAAAACTATATAAGCTTAAGAAAACCAATATTTAAAACATTGAATATGCAGACGGAATTGGAATGAAAAATTTGTCGTGAAACAACACGACAGAGTGTGCGAGCTCCGCACACTCTGAGGAAAATTGAAAAATATGTTTTTATGATATTTCAGCTCAGTTATGAAAACTTAGTATTGGAATATCATCTCCTAAGTGTTAGAAAATCTGTTGCAAGATTAATAGCATTTGTTTATTCTATAAAGAGGAACCGGTCATTTTCAGGAAAATGCCGTTTTCATTTAGTTAGATAGGGAAATCATGTTATCTTCTAAGAGACATCGATAGAACTTTTAATTAGCTTTCGATTGATACCAGAACCATTTCTGTAGTGTGACTGGTTCAGATTTTATGTAGATTTGAGTCCGATTTGGAATTATAATCATCGGAGGGATTTCGCCGAAAGCTCGGACCAAATCGTAATTTTTGTACTTTCAAATGCATTTTACAGCCAGAAGGAATAGAGATATCCAAAATTTTCATTAGACTTTTCGGTTCGGATCGATAAAAACTATCCGAATGTGAAATTTTTCTGGGAAAAAGTTGAGCAATCGTAAATTTTCGTTAGACAAGTCTTTGTTCGCAACGGTGTCGCCCCAGGGCAAAAACACGCCACCGACTGGCCGGCTTCTGATTGGCTGGAAGGCATGGCGTGATTATTGATTTTCTAGTCGATCGAAATGGATGTGATTTTTTTGAGCGTTATGATTATCCGATTAGAGCTCGTCCACAAACGTATAAATATGCAGGGTTTTGCATTCTTCGTTCAGAGGTCAAGTTGACAATTCATTAATTTTTCGCTGTTCAAATTTTGAAGAAATATTCCACAAAAACGATTGTTTCTGGTTGATGATCAGCCATAAAATCAGTGGTTATCTCTCGTAATAGTGTAGTGCGTTGGTTATTGTGAGCAAGTACCCTCCGGACTTCTGGTGAGTACGTTCCAATTTATCATTTAGTGAGACTGTTCATCATATCGATCGCCCTTGGAATTATACAGGGAGTGAGTTATTAGTAGCAGTATGGAGGAACTGCTCGACAGCATGATGGCCAGGGGTGAAGTAATTACCTTTATGGGTTTATTACTTGATCGCCTAGGCCTGAGCCCATCAGAGTTGTTAAAGGGCAGACCCGGGGCGATAGTTCGGACGCCCCCTGACCCCCCAACAGGGGTCAGAGAGCTTCTTGAGCGCCCGCCACGGATAGTATCCCTCATAGGTACTTCTGACTGTGCCACTCCCTCTGCACAGCCTGTTTCAATACAAGTAGATGAAAACAAGCCGCAAGAACCGGCTAACAAAAAGAGACGACTTCCAGAAGAGTTTCCTCCTCTCCCGACTAAACCAGCCGTCCCGGCTAATAAAAGCACCGGCACGAAACCCAAAAGGGTAGTAACAAAAACAAAGCTTCGAGACGAAGCCACAAATAGTACTTCAGAGTCGGAACTTTCCACTACTGAATCCTCCATAGACGAAGAAGGTGAAATGTCTGTCGATGAAATCGAAAACAAGTCAGACATTACAGTAACAACCATACAGGGTGGCTCCAGACAGCAACACCAAAATCCAAATCAGGTTGAAAATCAAAACACTCAGGAAAATGTATCTCCCATCCCTCCGCGATCTGAGGCGCCACGAAACGCCAAAAAATCACGCGTCCCCCCGATTGTCGTTCGTCAGAAGGACAAGTGGGTCAAATTTACGAAATTAGCTACACTACACAAAATTAGCTATACAAAAGCGGTGAACTTGGATGACGGCATTAAGGTCCAGCCTTCCACTATCGAGGACTTCAGGAAAATGTCCAAACTCCTGGTGGAAACCGCTGACATCGAGGATGCCTTGATGGAAAAGGGTTTTCAGCCAACATTTGTCTCCAGGATGATGCGCGAGGATCGTCGACTTCCTCTGGAATTAAAGCGGGGGAGTCAAGCCATCATTAGACTAGCCTCTGGGCTGTCGACTCAACGTTACCGTTGGGACCCTCCAGGACTACGAAACCTCTTATCCACATTTCCTGCGGACGGCCCTCATCCTAGGGTGCGGTTCAACAGTTAGGCTCCGCGACCCTTACTTATTAGCTCAGCTCACTCTGTAGGCCTTGGTTAGGAAATTAGTTTCGCGATCAAGAGTGAACTTAAAGTCTTAGCTTTCCGTGAATCTTCCCCTCTGCCTATCTCCAAGTCAGAGTCTTTGTAGGGAATTTCTTAAACACGAATATGCAGACTAGGGCAAAACAAGTGCGAGCGCAACTCGCAAATGTTACGACGGTGCAAAAGCGCGAGGTCACACCCTTCGACCAAGTAGTCTTTAATTCAGACACCTTTAATCGCCTGAGTGCGATTTCTACAGAAATACAGCAGAACCCCCAGGAATCTGTGTTCACAGGACACAGGACACCTTCGTCACATCTGTGAGTCGAGTAGATAGAAATGTCACAAGGGATTGAATCCCCAAATCGCGGTAATACTCCGACGTATCAAAATATTTTAAAACGGATTAGGGACTCTAAAACACCGAAAACGCCACAAACACATAACCTGTTCGAGGAGGACGAAGAGGACAGCATACAGGTGTTACCCAGTTTAAATACTGGACGCCACCTACAAGAGGCTGAAGTTACACCAAGAAGTGCACCTCAGTTAGAGTTTCGCACTGGAAGACAGATAGATGTCGAATACTATATGCCGAGATTGGCCACAACGGAACGTCGGGAGACGACAACGTTACCTCCCATGATGAGAGCTGTGCCTGTACATATGCTGAGATGGCAAAGTCAGGAAGCGTTGCCCACCTATATGGAAACGCAACGCGTTGAAGTACACAGGGTGTACAGCCATCCTGTGTTGCACACCATCGCATATACGCAACCATTGTTGACTTCGAATAAAAGCAGTTGCTCGAGAAGAAGCGGACAGGAAGTCCAGAACCCAACCGAAGGGATGGAAGGCAGATCTGGTCAATTGGACTTAGGTCTGGATCGCCGGCGGGCGGTAAACGCAGAAATGGAGTTTGGATTTAGTCTAGAGGACTTAAATCTGGGTCGCCGGCGGGCGTTAAACGTAGAAGGAAGACATGGTCTGGGAAAAGAAGAGGTCGTATAACGCCAGGCGTTGCGGCACCTACCTGCGAAGACCCTTAGTGGTCTTGTAGGAAGTTGGGACGAGCCACGCGCAGGAGCGTCGCTGGTCCCAAAAAGTTGCACGTCTGACGGCCCAGCGCAGCTGGGTGGTGGTGGAAGCCAGGGGGGTGTCCTGAAACAGTACGAAGCTTGGGAAGACCTTCATGGCGGGACAGAGGTGCCTCAATATGGAATTGACCGTGTTCCTGTACCGCGAAGATACGAGCTAGTCCAGGCACAGGATAAGCCTTGCGTCGCGCCTGGACAGAGACTGGGTCCCGAAATCCCTGGGACTCAGGTCCGGGAGGCCTGGTGGCCGATGCGACGTGCGGGGTATGCGGAAGTGGGAAGCGGAGCGCGTGTACACGCTTCCAACCCAAAAGCGTACCCCGAAAGAGGACAAGTCCAGTCGTGAAACAAAACTAGTTTGAAATTTCACGAGCTCCAGTACAAGGATCGCCCACTCAGAATGAACATTGAGAAAATGCGGAAAAACATTGGTTTTCCCAAGATATTTCAGCTCAGTTTCGAAAATTAAGATGTGAAATATCGTTTCCTAAGCGATAGAACTGCTGTTATATAATAATAAGCTGTTAATGGGCAGCCTACGGATTTAAATCTTAATCTAAGAGAGAATTCTTAGACTCTGAATTCTGATAAAATTCTTTGTCAAGTTTAATTATCAGACTTTCTTGCTCAGTGGAGCAACGGTTTTTGTAAATTCGTTGCCGAAAAGGATAACTGCGGTTTTCTACAAGTTCCTTGGGTATTGGTTTTATTCTGCAGAATTGTGAACTCCAGAGGTTGCCAAAGACTATCTAGAGTTTAGTGTTTGAGAGATAATTCAACCCAAATTACCTCAAAAAAGAATTCGTTGATCACGCAGTGATTCATAAAAACCAATCTGCCTTTTTCAAGGCAAACTAAACGTTCCAGCTTCCAGTGAATTTGTGTGCCGTTCCTGAGACATTGGTAAGCAATAACGGAATGAAGCCATCCGCAGAGATTTGAAGCTGTTAACAATACAGCAATCCATTCAGTTGAGGAATCAGAGAGTTTTCGAGTCAGCGGAAACTCATGATAACCCATTAGTTAGGGAAGCTGTAGATTACACTATAGACGACCCCACTCGATTCAGAAGGCCCCGTCGCTCAGTTGAGTGAAGGCTCCACGACGTCTGTTAAAATGAACAGTTTGTTCATCAATACCCCAGTCAGGAAGGGGTACACAAGGCCAGAGCGGCATAGATGTCATTGACCTCTATGCCGTTAACAAATAACACCGCTTAGTTATGAACCACTCGTCCTCATGGCGAGAGACAGTTAAAAGGGTACGGGAAGAGATTTTCAACCTGATCAAAATCAAGATGGATTACATCATAAAAAGAGCACACAAAAGTCCAAGATGTATTTTTGCCTTCAAAATGAAATAATGTTTTAAAAAATTGTTTCTAGTGGCTTTTATCAAATGACTTAGATCAAAAATATAAACAAGTTTTTTACCACCGAGTTCAAATTCAGATTCTTGTAAAGTGACCCCTAATAACTTTGACAATTCTTAAAAGTTAGAGCCCATGTCACTCACAATGCCATCAACATGCAGACCTATATTGGAAAACACAATAGTAACGAGGCATTTCGATTTTCACTTCTTATACATACACACAAAATCTAGTTTTATGTTGATATTAGTTTAACTTGTAGAATTTCACTCGAAGATTTTCAGTAGTGTCAATTCAAAAGCACACAACTACTGTTTCTCTCACGATGGATTCTTCAAAGCTAATTATCTCCTGAAAACTCTTGTCTAAATAGCATTATTTTAATGCATACCGAGTTAGGTAGGTACCTTTTGTAACTACCTACCTACCTCATTATGTTTGCTCAATGCTCACAGATTAATGGAGACAACTAAGCCCGAGAATGACGTGGAGACAACCAAGTCGACGCATGCGTCTACGAAAAAGGGACACAAAATGGTCGTCTTTGTCGCTTCTCTGTGGTAGGTATTCTCGGGTCCTGCACCTGTTGTCACAGATTAAAACACATCACGCAACTACGGTAGACTGAGGTGTTGGAGCATTCAATGATGAATACCTCATTTTTCGACTTCAGCTCACTCGATCAGAGAAAAGCTAAGGTCAGGTGCTAAGTCGAGATGATAAGCCGAGGTCTTTAATATTGTTAAAGAAGCTTCCATACATTCACTTATTTTTGTTTAGCCGCAGCAGTGAAGTGATTTCAGTGCTGTGATATGAGGCCTTTGCTGAACGGGTTCCAACTTGGTCACAGTGTTGTTATCGAAAACTAAACTGAAATTAGTTTGCATTCTGTCATCCTGAAGACTTTTGAATCCGTTTTATTTCATTCAACTCTCAAAATTAGTTATCTAGAATAATCTAGATAAATAACTTATCCACTGATTGGACAAATGCGGCAAGAATACTTAGAGAGAAATTTCACAAACTACACCTAACGATGTGATCTTCACAAACTGCTCTAGGTAGTTATGATCGAGTAAGTATCTGAGTAGGTAGTTCTCATTGGTGATTACGTTGGGTATATATAAATTAGATTGAAGAATGAACTTCCAGTATGTTATTTACTACGATAGGGCATCATGTGATATCTTTGAAAATGAAGTTTGTGAAGTTTGAATCGTTAGATGTAGTTCGTGAAATTACTATGGAGTTTCATCAAGTAACAGCCGAGTCAATCAGAAAACTACAGAGCGAGAAAGATAGAGAGAAAACTTCTCCATGCACTTGAGGTAATCTATTTGAGATGATATGCGAATCGATTACCTTCAATATATAAATCCACAATCTTTTCAATCATTCTAATAAAATTGTTTGAAACAAAAAGAGATATACCACAACTTCAATATGAGCAATTTTTTAACATTAGTTTTTCCAATTCTGTGTATAGTCGTTCATCTTACGATTGGATCAGAAGATTTACCAGAAGTGAGTAGTCTTCAAATATATTTAATTTTTGGTTGTTCAATAACGTCAATTGAAAATATTATAAAACTAAGGATATATCGCGGATATACCAATGCTTCTTCTGAGAAAAAATCATGGAAATGTATAATATGATTATGTTTTGGACCATTTTATTCATTTTATTTTTGAAATATAAGGGTCTTGGAGAAATAAAATAGGATAAATCATTAAATTTTGTTTCAATGCCCATGTTCAATGACAATTACTACAATACTAAAAACGTTATACATTTTAGAAAAACGTGAATCGAATTTCATTTAGTTGATTATGGAAATAGTAAAGATGTAACCATTTCCGAATTCTAATACATTGAGCAGTGAATAGTGTAATGAGTAGATTATTACGAATCTGAAGTGTTCACTCGTTACTAAAACTCTAGAATGATTTATTTTATTCAAGACTGTGAACGAACCCAATTATTTCTCATAAAAAAATCACAATAAATATTAATAAAACATAAACCATATTTACTGTAGTCCGAGTCTCCAATTCGAAACCAAAAAAAACTGGGGAGTAGTCATTAATTTTTATCAGGGCAGTAAAGTATTTGAAATGGGAGACAAATCCTACTGTAAAATATTTTTCAGTTACCAAAACTATCAGCTGCAATTCGAATTATATTCCCGAACATATTGGCAATAATTTTAATTGGATTTTGAAATAGACGATGTTGTGTTCTATAAAACCTTATTGATAATTCAATTGTAGGTAATATTGAAAAGTAAATTATATTTCAGTCAGGTATGTTTTAAAACATACTCAATTATTCATCATGGTGAACTACAAAAAGCATATTTTTTGGAAATATAGCACAATGGAAGTATACTATAAAAATAATAGAAATACAATCATATTGGGCTGGCGTATTCTGTGCTTGGTCCACTAACCCACTTTGCGATACACAAATATGTTTGTATTACTAGAGTATTACTCTCATAAGGTTAGCATGTTGCATAGAACAAACGAATTATTGTCATTGCCTACTACTATTACGAGGTCTGTTCAAAAAATAAGGTGAATGGTCAAATTTCGCAGCTTACATATATTCGATTAGTGATTATCTTTTATGTTAGTACACTCATTTCGAACATAATTTCACTGTTTCATCTGTTTAGCATGTTCAGTATGTTGGTGAGAGGCATGAAAGTTAGAAGTGTTTTGCGTGTTCGGCGATTTTCTGCTATCAAAAAAAATGGATAAAAGAATTTGCATCAAATTTCGTGTAAAAATGGAATTGAGTGCTCAAAAACACTCGAAATGTTGACAGTGGCATATGGTGATTATACTTTGAGTCAGAAAAATGTTTACAAATGGTACAAGCTCTTCACAGAAGGTCGAGAAGATATATCAGTAATATCAATACTACTACCGAAGGTTCCAAACAGTGCATCACAAGTACATAATTACTTCCAGATATTATCCTTATGGTCAATTGTATCTGTTCACCCTGAGTTTAGAGTTATTCTATCTTGGTTTTTGGTAAATGATGGGCCAGCTGCACGTGTTTCTAAATATATCAGTAAATTTACCCTAGATTAGGATGATCAAATCATTTGCAGATTACAATCCATTGATTCTGAAGACATATAAATGAACACGCCCTGCCTGTCTATGCACGCTGGTTGGTATATTTTTTTTTTTTTTTTGTTGGTTCTGTCTGTCTCTCACTCATTCTTTTTTTTTTTTTTTTTTTTTTGTTTCTGGATTTGGTTTTCTTTTTGTTTTCTGTCTGTATCTTTCGTTACCTACTGACTGACAAACACTTTTTTTTTTTGTTGGGGTGCGTGTTTGTTTGTGGGTTTGTTTGTTGGTTGATTGATTAATTGGGTGGTTTATGGTATCATGCTCGACTTGAGCTACATTGATTATTGATCTGGGCGATATGTTTGCTGATGGTGGGGCACTGGCCTTGGTTTTGGATATAATGGTTTTCCATGCAGCTGAGAGGTAGTGTGTGTCCTTTCTCTTGCCCCTTGCCAATTCCAGGTACCCCTCCTATCATTCTGGGTTTCTGGTGGTATATACTGACGATATGTTTGCAGCTTTCGAAATTAATGTATCAAGGTGGTGTTTGTGGCAAAGTGAGAGTTTGTTTCCCTCTACGCTCACGTATTCGGCTGACTCATTCTCTGCTGCAAACTCCACAAGCGATCTCATAGATGCCTTGGTTTACTAGGTTGACTTTGTCTTTTCGATCAATTCAAAAACTCGAAGCATTTCCTTGGCCTCATAAAGTTACATTGGAGACGAACGATATGTGTGCCACTCTGGTCATAGTATTTTTGTACCCCAACGTACCAGTAAATGAAGCTCTAGACCAGATAGCTATGAACGAGGACCTACTAGCTCATAATATCGAACTTGCAGACGACTGCTTGAAAAATACAAATTTCAGCTTAAATAACAATATGTATAGACAGACAGAAGTTGCTTTGAAGCGGTCCGTTTTATCACCTGTCATCTCCAAGCTTTTCATGGGCTATTTCGAAACCGAGCCTTTGAACAACGCCCTGGTGAAATCCAAATTATTTCTGGGATATGTTGAGGTCATCTTAATCATTTGGCCTCATGGAGATCAGGAGCTTGGCTGTTTCGTAGCATACGTAAAGTTAGTCCACAAGAAAATCCAGTTCCACACAGAGATAGACATTAAGAACGAGTTACATTTTTTCTCTACCAGTTAGAAAAATACCCAACGAAGGAATTCAGCACACAGTATACAGAATACCAACGCATACTAACAGATACCTGAACGTGAAGTCACATCATCATCCAGCACAAATAAAAGCTGTAGCTAACACCCTCATTTCCAGATCTGAACGCCTAGCAAATTAAGACACTAAGAAACAAGAAATGAAAGACATGAAAAAAGCTATGTAGCAGAGTAGATATGAAAATGATAAGATTTACAAAGAAGAACACCAAAGTGAGAAGCAAAACAAAAAAGAAGCAAAAATAAAAGAAATTAAATCCATCCAGCCCTACATCAGAGGAGTTACTGATGAAGTAGAAAGAATTCTAGAACAACAGAATATGAAAACAACAAATACACCAACGTGAACCATCAGAAATTTCTTAAACAATTGAGAAAAAAATGTAAACCTAGAAAACCAAGGCATATATAAGATAGCATGTGGAAATTGCAGCAGAGAATATGTCGGCGCCATACAAATAGGTCAATATCAATCAGATCAGAGAAATAAAAACTCCCACTTCACATAAACAAATAACCTCAGCCCTATGCAAACGTCGACATGATACAGGGCATCACATTGACCAGATTTATGAGGAAGGCAATCGAAATTGAGTTGAAACAAAAGAGATGACGTACACTACCTATCAGCTACGTGGAAAACCATCATATCTATAACCATGGCAAGTGCACCACTAACAGCAAACACATCATCCAGAACAATAATCAATGTGTCTAAAGTCGAGTGTGATACATCACACTAACCAATTACCCCACCAATCAACCAGACCGCTTTCCGTCAAGCATGAGTATGGCAAGTGTGATATTACCGAAATGTGATAATGTCAAAGATGAACGCATGTACGCCCGGGATATAGCATGTGACATTTTCCATGATTCCGGTGTTAGATTTGTGATTTCCAACACGGAGAAGTTCTCTTGAAGTTTCGTCTACTTCTTACTGTTTGTTTTTAGGTTCCTTCGACTATGTCTTGTAGAGTTTAGTATATCGGGTCTGTTCAATTTTCTTGCAATATATCTTCTCTTCGATTACCACCAGGCTTCGTTATATCTAGGTAGGATCATTTTTCGTTGGTCAGTATTTTTCAAAAGATTTTCTAGTTGGTAAATATTCCTTTCTGATGACTAACTATAACTTCTGATGGCCGTATTTCAAACACATCCACCCAGTTAACCTCCAAGCTTATCTGGCATTTTTTCACATTTGGTATTGTACATATGAGTGATATTGTATTATTTTTCAGGTTACAGTCATCAATAGTAATGTCCCAAATGAAAATTACAAAGTCGATGCAAAAGAAGCATATTTGAAATCTTGGAAACTTTATGCCAATGAAACCAATAAACGCATTGAAACTTTTTCAAGTCTTTATCAGCTGAAATATCCTGTTAATGGAGGATGGAGTGTCGCAGAGGGATGTATTACTAGGTACACACCTGGGGACACATACAGTTTTGTAACGTTGAGCTCAGTTTACAATAACGTTACAACTGTTGTCGATATATTCTGTTTTTTTATTCAGATATAGTATATATTGAATAAATAAATAGTGAACTATTATATTTTTTATTTTTTCTATAACTTAGACACATATATCGAAAGATTTTCAAAAGCATATGAGGAGGCAAAAGAGATTCTGACGAAATTATTTAAGGTCAACTTTAACCAAATACCTCCACGATTTTTGCAACTGTGACATATTTATCACCATTTTCTTTCTGTTGCTAGTAGCGACATCAAATTGAGCACATCAAATTGGGACGAAAATTTCAAATATTGATTTGATCCAAAGAATTGTTTTGAATAGAACTTTTAACGCTCGAATCGAAAATATTATTGTTAGAATAATTTCCAATAAAATCACATTCACCCGCACAATGGCCGCTAAAATGATATGAGATCTGAAAACTACTCATGAAATGAACATAATTTCAAAGATTGTTCGTAACTTTAGATGAATTCCAAAAATATTGTGCAGAACAACTTTGATAAAGTCCGAGTAAATCCTAAAGTACTTTATTTTTTATTCGATGTCAAAGGTGACTCTTATGTTACAATATCTCAGGCATTATCCAGTATATAGTCTGGATGATGGAACTTTTATCTGTAATGAACGACAGATATCCAAAAAAGTGCTTTTTAAAACTATTCGAATTTGGTCAAGGTGACACTCGATATGATTTGGTGAATAAAATGAAACAATGGTTCGACTATATCGATTGTCCTGAAATGTTAACCCGACAAAATCACCACCTGCTATCTGCTATATTAAAACAGACATAAACATAAACAAGAATTTTCACACGAATGGTCACAGCTGAGATCTAGCCAAATTCCCTACCGCCATGTAGTTTTCCAGTTAAAGCACCTCCTTAATTCTACCTAACGTTTAGGACAGCTATTCATGATATTCAGTTACTATCCCAGATTAATATGAGATACAAAAATATCCTGAAGATATCAATCACTGTTTCATTCCTGCTCTGCTCACGCATGTTCTCTTTATTACATACATATGTGTCATTTTCTATTTATTTTCATCTCATAAAGATGTAACAAAAATACTTTGACAATATAATTGTCTGATATCAAATATTTCATTTTAGTTTACCAGCAGTTTATCTTATATTCCTGCATTCTTTTCTATTTTTTATACCTCTGTTGATTTTTCTTTATTTCTTTCCAAAAATGTTATAATCAAATCTTATCATTTGTATTGAATGAGGAGGTATTTTTTTAGCAGAATAATATTTGAGAAAGAAGCTTTTCAACTTTCTACTTCTCCATATTTATATAAAAAAGCGGAAAACTTCCGCTGAAAGAATGCAATTAAGTTCGAAATACCTTTTTACATTGATGTGTAGGTCTCACATAAAAGTTACTTTCATACACAAAGTGGAAGAAGAAACCATCCCGTACCAACTGTTTTCACACAAGCAATAAATTACATTAAAAAAAAAGGACTTTTGAAATGACTACTTTCATACGAACATTGAATTATACGAAAATCACTTTTTCATATTCAGTTTGTACTTTGAATATTCGTCATGGAATGGAATCAGATATCATTCATAGAAATGCTACACGTTACGATAGTTACGATATAAAATATCATTTACATCAGTCTATATACGAAGTTCTTGAAAAGCCATAACTGCTTCCACATTAACATTGAATTATACGAAAATTACTTCTTTCTATTCAGTTTATACTGAAAGTAACTTCTATGCATGATCTTTGAAACTGCGTAAAGAATTTATTTCGAGCTGAATCACTTTCTTTCTTCCTTTTATCACTTTTCTCTTTTATCATTTATATTCCAGATACGAGTAGAAATGAATAAAAATAATTCAAATATACAAATTCTCTTTCAACTACCTACATCGTAGGTTCTGGTAAATGCCTGCAGGAAAACAACTACTTCCTCGGCTAATACCATGATGGATATTTGATTATATCCGACAGACATTTATGCAAGATACCTCACAGAGGTTAGTCTCGCAGATGTTTCTCGTTCACTCATAACAGGACCATGCTGAAATTGAGTACGTCACCTGCAGACCGGTTTCGAGGTATTACCTCTCATCAGTGCAGAAAAAATCCGAGCCAAACAGCAAAGTGCCCTGGACTCGAATAATTTCAACGCGGTTTGCCGGCTCCCGAAATATTGTCAACTAGTTATTACTAGCTCCATCTTGTGCACAAAGAGCCAAGCGGGTAAAAAACATCCCATGTACCAATACTCTAACAGATATTAAAACGTATCTGAAGACTTTATCAAGGAGAGATACATATGTGTAAGAAAATATTTCGAAACAAAATCTCTTTCAACTACCAACACAGTAGGTTCTGGTAAATGTCTGCCAGATAACAACTACTTCCCGGCTAATACCACGTTGAATATTGAATTACATCCGACAGATATTTATGCAAGATACCTCATAGAGGTAAGTTTCGCACATGTTCCTCGAATGTTTGTCAACTATAATACAATATCTAGCGTGTTATTAGCCGTGAAACTAAAAATTCAACAGAACCTACTGTATAGGTAGTTGGTAGAAATGAATATTTCGAGATTCTATTTCGAAATATTTATTTTCTTATACGTGTACGTATGTATCCCTCCTCGTTACAGTCTTCAGATACAAAATATGTTAAGAAGAGCTACATTTCCAACTTGAAAGAGATATACTCAGATGAGATATACTCATCTAGGACTCTAGCTTCACACATATACTTTATCAGATATGTATTTTTATGTGTCAAGTAAATGATGAATTTAAATAATAGAAACAATCAGATTTTGATGGAATTTATTTTACAATGTAATAATTATATCTATTTTATTGGAAACGGTTTTATATTTTACTCTTAATCAGTTTACATTCGCTTTGAAGTATTGTACAAATAATGATGTTATCATTATCAATTAAGTAGTGTTTCTTTTGAGTCTGTCAGCCCAAGCTATTGATAATGCAATCAATACCATTCAATTTAAATTCTGTTAAAAATACTCCTTAGAACTTGACAAACTCAAAACTGACGTTGATTCAAATCTCAATTTTTATCGTTGTGATAAGATTTGATCAAATTTTTCTCCTAATAAAATACAACGTGATAGTTAGCAATTTATTTATTCCATGAGCCGCTCATTTATTAGCAAAATTTCTTTCATTTCAACTCCGCCCAACGATTTATTATACAATTTGAAGGAATAGATACATTTAGGACTGAACCAGTTATTCTAGAATTTGTTTCACTCAAAAATTCATAGCCATTATCGCCCCTTTACGCAGCCCAATTCTGATTTCACCTGTAAATAGGAACCATCACACATCCCCACTGTCTCAAAAGCCATTCGTTGTGCTTTCGTGCCCATTGTAAGCGGATAGCTCTGTGTTGTGGAAATAGAGTGGATGCCCCTAAAGGCCTTCTTGCTCGAAGATGTGCCCAATTCAGTCTTCTTCTAACTGTAGATGTAAATATAACACGGCGAAATGTACGTTGAATTCTACGTACGTTGATTCCTAAGGGCTGGAGCTGGGATTCTTTTCAAAGCAGGAATTTCACGCACTAGTAATATTTTGGAAGAAAAGTGTCAATTTACAGTGCTAAATATTCGGTGCCAATATTACAAAAAAATTGTAAAAAATCAGTAATATGTTATCCATTAATATCATTGGTCCTGTTTGTTTAACAGATAGTAGATTAATGGGGGTCCAAGACTTTTGATGTGTGTATAATTGTATCATCAATGAGTTTCATGCCCTCCACAATGGAATCTGCATTACCTAATTAATTATCTATATAGTGATGTTCAATAATTTCTTCCGTCGCTGCTAGAAATTTCTTGATAATTCTGGAGTATTTCGTTTCTTTGCTTCCTGCGTTAGGCATGGGCCATTTGATAATCCAAAGAAAACTAATTTGATTTCATATTCTTCGGGTTCTCTATTTCTGTCAAGTCCACGCCATATAAACCTTCGAGCTGGACAATCTTCGTGGCGAACTTTCACTTGTAAAAACATTTCCTCAATATTACTGGTGAAAGTCTGTCTCTCAATCCTTAAATTCATCAAAATTGTATGAAACGATGTATATAAATCGGAACCTGTCATTAAGCAATCATTTGCCATTTGATTTTGAAGAAGCATCGAATACAATTCTGAATTTATTCGGTTTATTTGGGTTAATAATACCAAAATGTGAAAGATATCAAATCTTTGAAGATTGAATTTGATACCATACTCGAGACTTTTGTTTATTTTCCTTTTCATACATGCTAACCTACCTATTCAACGCATTATTTCTGCTTTCTGGGAGAACTAAATTCTCATTTCTTCACACATCTACAAGAGTCCAATTTCCCATCTGTCTCCAATATTCCTTATAGTCTTCTCAATGGTTTGTACCCACTTGTCCTCTTTTGACATGGATTTCTCAATTTTATCTGTTCCAGAAATGTCAATATTCCAATATTCCATCTCTTCATTTTCCATGAGTATAACAAGCAAATTCATTTTTTTAAATTGTATTTGGTCTAGAACAAACATTTTCAAGTTTGACTCAACCCAGTAATGTCTCACTTACTGCTGAACCAGTAATAATTTTTATGTTAACCAATAACGGCCAATTGTCTTGACCACTTATGATTCTAGGTTTGGTATTGATCATTGGTGCAATTTTCTTATTTATACAAGGATATTTCATGATAATCCCCCCTGTTTCCACAGTTTGTTTAGGTATTGATAAGCCTTTCATTGTTTTTGCATGTCTTACTTGAAATTCCGCACTACTTTCTTCTGACTGTATTGTGACTTGACTTGACTTGATTGTTAAGGTCCTTTGAGAGTGCATAGGTTTCGACATTTATGATGGTAACAGGTAGAATTTTGAGTAAAACATGTTTTTGTACTGTCAGTAAAAGTGACGTTTTTAGTGGTTATCAGGACTATTAAAAGATGATGTTTACAAAGTAGTGTGTTAAAAATATTTTTAACAATTCTGTTAAAAGTATTTTTAACACGATTTTTTTCTACCAAATAGCAATAAAAAAACATAATTATTCAATTTTTGAGAAAATTTAATTATGAACAATAGATATAGATACAATTAGACTCTGTTACAAATGTAATATATACATTAATTACATCATTATTATTATTTATGAAAAGTAAAACTAGAACAACTGCTGATATTAATACTTTGCGATGTTGAAGAGTCTGGTAATATATTTAAACTATCTGAGTTGACAATTTCATGGGCATTAACATTTAATTCTTGTGGATGATGCTGTAACGCTGGAGCTAGCTGTTGGGATTACTCTTTCAGTAATTTCAGAAATATTGAATTTATATGAAAACATGACAGTTGTACAAAAGGCTTTTTTGATATTTATGTTAAAAGTGAGTTTTATTTTGTTCGTGAAATTGTTCAACTTGCTACGCTCGTTTCGCAAACAATTTCGGTCACTAAATAAACCCTTATTTTCAACACTCATAATAAATAGCTATTGTTTGTAGAGATATGACAATTGCCTCAAACATCATTGACATTTTCACTGGAAATCGAGGTGGCTTCCAAAATTGTAATTTAATTTTTCATTATCTGATGGGTGTAAAATATGATATTTTTTGCAGTTATTAATATTGCAAATATTATTTTTTACAGACAAGACAGCACAAGACAGAAAAAATTAAATTTTATCTTTCTTGAACTAAGAGGGATTCGAATGTACAACACAAGCTCAAACGATGTAAGTCGTTTTTAGAACATATACACTTCTTTTTATCATCTGTAGTCAAAGTATTATTTTTTCTACCAGAACTACGCCCTCTATACCTCTGGGTTTCTGTCAAAAGACGTTTGGTGATATTTTGGCATTTCGATCTGTCAAGCTGCCAACGACTTTTGATTGAGCCAGTGACAGAATTCAACCAATTTGAATTCATACGAATTTTCTTTCGAAATATATTCAATTCATATTATTTTGTATGAATTGGGAAGTTTATTAATTTATTTATTCATTCGGAGAATTGTATCAATAGGTCGTATCTTTTCTCTTTCACGATAGGAAAACATTAGACTTTTTTTAGAAGCATAAAGATTTGTTGAGGTTGTCCAAATCTACTTTCTAGAATGTTTATTATTTTGTCTACAATGTTAGGCATAATTAGTAGACTGAACGCTTTTCAATGCATTGCGTTTTAGGAACTTTTGTAATCTACAGTAATAATTTTGATGCTAACTCAATATCAAGCATTTCTTCTTTCTTCAGAAGCAGCTTCTATTCAATCTTTTTCTTTTCAAAGGCAAATTGAAGTTCCGCTTGCTGACGTTTTGATTCACTGTTCTTTGTTTTTGACATATTATGACTTCTGCTACGTTTGGAACTTCGAGAATTCGAAGGTACCGGATTAGACATTTCAAAAGGTTTGCTCACATTCGTCGTCGGCAATCTGGTTTCACTTCTTTCAGTTATGGATCTATGAGATTTCAGAAGCACCTGAAAAGACTCAACTCGAGAAGCTAGTTTCTTACTTTCAGACTTTTCCTTGAGCCTTTGTCTTCGACATAACGGAAATTGGTAAATATTCGTTATGAGGGCACCCGGCGATTTTGAGTGTACTTACGTATTTTGATGTCTAGATTACGAATCCGAAAGAAAAAAGCGGCGCTCTCCATCATCTTCAAAGTTACGGCTCTTCAAAGTTCAGAAAAGGGCAATTTTTCAGCCTTTTTTTTCACAAGATAACTATTTAAAAATACAATAATTTATTCACTTAGTCACCTTTTTACACCGTATTCCTCCTTCCTTGACACTTTTCACTTCAACAATCAACATTTTTCCAATAAAAATATTAAAAAATGTACGGAGCTGCTTTTTGGTTATATATCTCTGTATTTTACGTTTTTAAGGTTAATGACATAGTTGGTACGACTGATGCTGTCAATATTCCTAGAGTAATTCAAATGTTTTTTGCCTTCATTTATTGTGTTTTTCTAATCACTCACGTCAAACTAAATAAATCCAAATCTACGAATTTGAAATATCTAGTAGGCGGCGGCAAATACCAACCACTTTTTTCTGAATTGTCACTAGTAACTAACCTAGAAATAGAAGAATGTCACCAGAAGAAGCATTAGTTTTTAAATTTAGTTTTTTATAAGAAAAATGTTGATTGTGAAATTGAAAAGTGTCAATTAAGGAGGAATAAGGTGTAAAGGTGACCAAATGAATAATGCTTGTGTTTTTAAATAGTTTACCTTCCGGAAACGAAGGCTGAAAAGTTGCCCTTTTCTGAATTTTGAAAGGCCGTTACTTTGTAAATAAGGGAGAGCGCCGCTTTATTCTTTCGGAATCGTAGTCTACGCATCAAAATACGTAAGTACACTCAAACATTTTTTCAAAATAGCCAGGTGTCCTCAAAACGAATATTTACCCGGAAAATTTTCGGACATATAACCACAGATTCGTTCTGTTAGCAGCGAAGGACCATTTGTTGATTGATAATCTTACCTGAATTGTATAAGATTTCTTTATATTAGGCCGAATGTCATTTGTTAATCATTAATCTCCCCTAAAATGTATGAGATTTTTTTTAAATCAGGCCAAATGATCAATTTATGACAATTTTTGAAATTCGGCTTTCAGAACGTCAAAACAAAACTTTATTCTTTATTTTATCTCAGAAACTAATTCAAATCAACGTCAATATGAATTAGTTCATTGATTGAAAGAGTAACAAAAATCTCAAAACGAGACGCAAAAAATGTATGGAAACTATAGCTCGTTTTCATTTTCCAAGTCCATCTATTTATTCTGGTTTTTCGTAAAAATCATATATTCCAGAAAGAACTGTCAGTTTAGTGATTAATTAAATAAATTCTCAAGAGTTTAAAACCTTGATTTAAAATAATTCAAACAAAACCTGATAACTGTTATCCTCCGAAGACGATTGTGAATACTAACAATCGAAACGTCGTGAGTAGCTTGACTTAAAATTCCTTCATTTTTATATTTTATTTCATTTTAATTGTTCAGTGCTGTATATACCTTTTCAAGTTTCTGAAACATTCAAAGGAAACTTCCGCGCAAGCAAAATATACATTAATCGAAAGAGGCAAAGAGAGACGGAGATTATTAACTTTTTCCAATATGACTCAACCGAATTCAGTGTCAAGAGCAACATGATTATCCACTCTACTAGCCATAACATTTGCTCTCAGAGTGGAAACGAATATGTCAGCTCACAAACTCATATCCACGGGCTGTGAAATATTGAACAGAGAATCTGCCAACCCTAAACTTTTCAATTTCTTGAATTTATTTTTCGAAATAACGACAACGGATATATTTGAACAAATGTTTGGTAGGCGAACAGAGTCCAAGGTAAAACTGGGGTGTAGTGTATTTATTAGCTTCATAGTACAGGACATTTTTTCACAAGATTGAGAATTGATATTTCTATGAATTGAAAGATTCAAAGGTGAAGATTCAAGACCTGAACGATTTGCATCATCGAGAATGGCTTTAGCAATTAGATATTGGCCACTTTCAGCCAATACCTCGACAAGGGTAGTGTAGAGCAAAACTGTAGTACTTGCATGAGTAAGGAAATTAATGGAAGATTGTTCCAATGAGAAATAGGGTAAACAGACATCGTTTGCAGAAATTTGATTCTGTTGGGTCTATCAAAGTCCCATGTTCAATTTCAAATTGAGTAGTAGTAACATTATCCAACCTGTCAACTAACATGTTAAATAATATGAAATCCCGGGCTTTTACATCAAATCCGGGGTTTTCCAAAAATGATAAATTCAAAGAAAATGTATCGAGTAGATTACGTAATGCAATTGGATTATCTGAAAAATTAAACCTTTTTGTTTGTTCTATTGAATGTCAATAAGAACTGGCTTCACGGTTTAGAGATAGAAATGGGGATAGATGAAAGCGCTCGAATGACTTATAAATAGTCACCACTCGGAGAAATAGTCCACTCATCACTCGAAGACGATTGTGGATACTAAAAATCGAAATGTTAAGTAACTTGGTTCGAAATCTTTTTTAATTTTTGATTTTTTGCTGAAACTCATTTTTTCATTTTTATTTCTTTTTATTCTGGTGTCATTTTCATTTTGTAGGTATCTTGATTATTTCATTCTTCTTTACCTATTCATTTATTCTTTCATAGATTTCGAATCATAGTAGAATCATATTAGACAATGGAAGTCCGAACTAACGAAATTCACCATGAATCATTGTCAACCACTTTCAAACAAATGAATCTATATCATGTAATAATGAAATACACATATGCGTATATGTGTTTATATCTCCTCCAAATTTAGGGTAGCATTATTATTTTTTCAAACAGAACCTGCCATGGTACTATTTATAGTACCATGCCAGGTACTGTATAGAAGTACAGGTACTGTATAGTAGTAAAGTTTCATATAAATTGCCTGCATATGAAACAGATCCGTTTGAAAATCGGTAAAAATCTTACCATGGGTATCCAAATCAGCATTCTCTTGAGTGAAAACCAGATTCATCACAATATTATGAAACCTTTCAAATGATTCCTGTACCCTTTTAATATTTTGCCTAGATTTATCAGTGAAAGCTCTGTCAGCTACTTTCTTTAACTCATTGATTTCTATCCTTTCAGTTCCACGATAGTAATATTTTGATTCAATTTTTCGAAACTTTCAGCCATCATGTCGACATAATGGCCATTATGGCTGATAGTTTCAAAACAAATCAAATGTATAGATAATATCTATACAGTTTTAGCCAAAATTAACTATTTAGTACAGCAATTTACGAGTAGAGAGTATTTACTTCATAAAATTATTCAGTATCAAAGAGAAAAGAAATTTATGAGAGAGAGTATCACATATAATATTTGGAAAAAAACTAATCAATACAGTGTATTGTATGATTTTCACTATAAAAGGGTTTTACAAAAACCACGACACGTGTTTCGCTATACAATAGCTTCATTAAACTATTATGTTTATGCTTGAGAAAGCTATTATACAGTGTGTCTCACTTCTCATGGAAACACCCCCGTATCTTCCGTAATATTCGAGGTAGAACGATGAAACTCTCAGGACTGATGGAAATGCTCAAAATGCACCTACCACCTGAATGGGGTTGACCAAAGTGATATACACTGTCCGCCACTCGCGATGGAACACCCCATTTTACTGTAAAACATATAAGGGGGCAAAATGGGCTCAAAATTCCTTCAGATTCGTAATCAGGACTATGAACTTACTACGATTACACTTTTTTCCTGAAAAAAGTTCAGTCCTGAAAAATACGAATTTGTCTCACTTCTTATGGAAACACCCCGGTACTTTCGTAATATTCGAAGTGGAACGATGAAACTCTCAGGACTGATGGAAATGCTCGAATTGCACCTACCACTGAATGGGGTTGGCCAAAGTGATGTACACTGTCCGCCACTCGCGATGGAACACCCCATTTTTAGGTAAAACATATACCCGCTAGAGGTAGCTGTACACCCTGGAACTGTACATAAAATATATAATCTATTCGTGAGCACCGGCCAAGTAACAAAGGACAGAAAAGTTGTAAAACATCATATTGATAATGATACGATATTGGCGGCTCATCAAGCTGATCCTAGAATTAGTTTGAGAAACTTATCGCTTCAACTCAATATGAGACGCAGTAAAATATGAAGGTGTTTAAAGAGGCTAAAATGAATGCGTTCAAACCCAAATTTTTACATACTTTGCACGAAGGAGATGAAATCCGCCGTATGGAGTATTGTTTATGGATGCAGGGAAATTATCTCAATGACAGGAATTTTTTAAAGTATATCTTATGCAGTGATGAGGCTACCTTTACCACGAATGGTGTTGTATCTTCCCAAAACCTCATTTTGGGCTGAACAAAATCCAATTTGAGTGGTGAATTGTAGAGACCAAATATCTCAGAAAGTTAATATGTGGTGTAGTATCCTGAACGAAAATATTATCGGGCCATTTTTTTTCGACCAAAATTTAAACGGACGACTATTCGATGATTTCCTCGAAAATGCATTTTCCGATGTGTTGGAAGAACTACCTTCGGATGTGACACACAGCATGATTTTTCAGTTAGATGGTTCACCAGTTCACAATAGTGGTATAACAAGGGTTTGGTTGGTAGGAATCTACCTATGAAATGGATAGGACCCAATAGCCCCCTCGTAGTATGGCCACCACGATCCCCAGATTTAGCTCCACTGGATTTTTATTTATGAGGAAATTCGAAAAATTAAGTTTATAAGGATACGCCAACAAATAAGGAAGATCTCCGTGCAAGAATTATACAAGTGTGTAGAGAAATCACATCCCAAGAACTGAGAAGAGTTGGAGAAGATAATAGAAGGCGCATAGAAAAATGTGTTCGATTGGAGGGAAATTTCATAGAAGGCACGATGATATAAACTTTACAGTTAAATCATTTGAAATTGATTGTTTTTTAATTGAAAATGTGATTTTGAAAGTAGTATTTCGAAAGAATTTTGAAGTACATAACATTTTCCGCCACAAAGTATCCCTGTTTTTTTTAAATAATGGGAAAATGAGAATATGAACTAACATTAACCATCCTAAAACCTCATTGATCACATGTTTCCGTTCATCTTACAAAATTACCATTTTCTCTCATTGAGAAGGAATAACTTTCCTGACAACAAAATAAAAAATAAATTATTTATGTGAAAACAAAAGTCGAGTTTCTCTTAAACAATTTCGTTCATGTTTTGATGTCAAAACCAAAAAATATCTACTTCAATTATTACGGAAGATACGGAGGTATCCTAATCAGGATTATGAAGGAATTTTGAGCCTATTTTGCCCCCTAATATGTTTTACCGTATAAATGGGGTGTTCCATCGCGAGTGGCGAACAGTGTATATCACTTTGGCCAACCCCATTCAGGTGGTAGGTGCATTTTGAGCATTCCAATCAGTCCTGAGAGTTTCATCGTTCCACCTCGAATATTACGGAAGATACGGGGGTGTTTCCATAAGAAGTGAGACAAATTCGAAATTTTCAGGACTAAAATTTTTTCAGGAAAAAAGTGTAATCGTATTGAGTTGGTAGCCCTGATCACGAATCTGAAGGAATTTTGAGCCTATTTTGCCCCCTAATATGTTTTACCGTAAAAATGGGGTGTTCCATCGCGAGTGGCGGACAGTGTATATCACTTTGGCCAACCCCATTCAGGTGGTAGGTGCATTTTGAGCATTTCCATCCGTCCAGAGAGTTTCATCGTTCTACCTCGAATATTACGGAATATACGGGGGTGTTTTCATGAGAAGTGAGACACGCTGTATAGCGAAACACGTGTCACGGTTTTTGTGAAACCCTTTTATAGTGAAAATTTTACAATAAACTGTATTGATTAGTTCTAATATGGATGTTCATCAAGTATCAGCCAGTTCTATTCAATTATAATATTAGGCATAAGAAATAATTATGTTTTGACCAGTTAATTAGCAAGACTGTTTCATGACTCCTTGATGGTTCCTCTACGAATCTGTCTATAATTCACACGAAAACATTCAAATAACCTGAAAAATACATGATAACTCTGCATTAACAAAATTAGGACTTCTTATTCATGACTACAGTGCTACCTACCAAATGTTTCGTGAGGCCTGTCGATCTGGATAGAATTAAAATAATTCAGAACACCCTTTAATGACGCAGTGTTGTATAATTCAACTCATATACAATCTATCAAATTATGCACAAAGTTGGGTAAATCTTCAAAATCGAATTGATACATAAACCATAGTTTCTATGCATCTTAGTTTATATACTTTTTATTGAAAAGTGTCTACGTTTCAATTACCTCATATTACACAAATAGTAAACTGTTGAGATTTCATATTTCACAGTTAGTAAATTAGTAAATCATAATTACAAATTGGGAATGTCCAATGTCCACTTTCCAATGTTCCGCATTTTGGAATTTTCAAATTATCAGATATCAGAGTTGGAAAACAGAATATAAAATGTTTTTACCGAATAAGTACCTGCGAATTTTATGGAATTGACCCAAAATTCTTCATTGAAAAGTTAAGTACCTAGTTCGGAATATTGTTTCGTTTTCATTAAAACAGATTGACTGCCGACCATATTTTTGAGGTACTCTCGGATGCCGTTATGTTTTATTTGTTTTTTTGCCTTCCTTTATGTCATTTATCATCTAAATAATAGTGTTATTATGTTTGTCATTCTGTTTCTATTTTTAAAATTAAGATAAAAAGACTCCGATCGGAGTGGTTAGCGTCAAACATTAATATTTTCACCGGATACCGAACACTCCAATCGGAAAGGTTTGGCATACACAACACTCCGATCGGAGTGGGTGGCATCGTCGATTGGTGCCTGTATACTCCGATCGGAGTAGTTGGCATTCAACCTGTTAATTAGTCGCCTTATATCGGATACACAAATTGCTGAAGCATGTGTATTCTTTCGTCGATACAACTACAAATTTTATGTGTTTGTCGTTTCGTTGATGAAACCATCGTTTTCATCCTTTTTGTATTGATTTTCATGTTTATCTTTTTGGTGCTGTATTTATTATATTCAAATTGTAAGTTTTTTCAGAACCTGCTACAATGGCCATTCCATCGGCAAACAATAGTTTCGATGATTCAACTTTTTCATTCTCCAATTTCCTATTGTATATTTCTCATCAATATAGTGAATAAGGCTGTTAAAGTAGCTAAACCAATTATGAAAATTTCAAAGTATAATCTTCAAATTGAAAATATTATCGGTCGAAATGTATACAAATTTTACTCTTGATAGTCGTTACAGTTTCTATTAAAGTTTCATGAACCTCAATAATACACTTAAATACAACAATAAATCAAAATAAAAAATATTCATCTTCTTTAACGAATTAAAGGGGGCAAGTTTTTGAATAGATGGGAGACGGCTTCAAATTGAAATGACGCATAAAATACCAGACCGATACTGATATTATTCATATTAATCTTAATCATTTCGTGATTCGATTGGGCTAATCATAGTAGAGTATAATGTGTACTTGAAACTCGAATGTATTTCAGTGGAGGTACATATCATGATAAAATTCAAGATATAAGTATAAATTGATCTACATGAACCTATCAACTTCTCAAAATATTTCCCGTTGTTGAAACGGTGATTCTCTACTGCTTCAATATGAAAAACCTATTTGTTTTTACTTTTTCAATAATTTGTGCAGTACTAGGATTCACAAGTGCGGTCCATATCGAATTACCAGATGTAAGTATTTGTATTTTGTTGTATTTTGTGATTTTAATGGAGAAATATTTTTCACAATGTATGTACTATTTGGTGTAGTAGATGTATAAGGTTATCTAACTATTTACTAGAGATGTCTAGGTAATTCTAACTGGTATGTTGAGAATTAGATTCCACAAAAAGGCTTGGGCCCAGTAAGCTACCAGAGGAGCGATTTGATTATCCTTGAGATTAGAAACTACTCTGATCAACATATTAAAAAATTTGGAAATTCCTTTCGACTCGAAACACACTGTTGAATTAAGTGAAATTGAAATATTGTTCAAATAATTTTTTTTTACAAAGGCCGACTCACACTCAAATTACTGTTATGATCGTATGTTTTGTAGGTAAAAATCAAAGACAGCCATGTGCCGAACAGTAATTACGAACTTCATGCAGTAATAAACTATTTGGAGGCTTGGGCCCTTTATCCTGATCCTGAAGCAACCTTACGCCGTGTCGAAACTTTTTCCAATCTTTATCAATTGAGGCATCCTGTTAATGGTGGATGGAGTGTTGCTGAAGGTTGTTCTAATATCTACACACCGGGTGGTGCCTATAATTATGTAACTTTGGACGTAGATTACAGAGATATAAATGGTACTGTTGTTATATTTTGTATTGCTGAATAACAATGAATGTTTTAATAAACGAGTCTAATTGAATATCTCAAAAGGGTCTTAATATTTTAATGAAAAAGGCACCAGAAGTTGTGAATGCTTCGTTGAAAGACAGAAAGGGTAACTAACATATGAGACAAAATTTATATAAGGTCTTATTGTATAATGTCCTGTGCCCCTCTCAACTAGCAAATTGTCTGGTTCACAAGTTGAAATTTGTGTTCAACAGAGATGAAGCTATCTATATCTAAATGAGCAATACCTCATTGAATTCAGAATGAGGTATAGAAAAATGTATTTCAATGATTCCAAAGCATATAAACTGCAATTGTAATTAACAAATTGGGAAGAACAAAAGAAGGCACTTGGTTTTTGTTAATATTCCAAGAAATAGCAATAATTGGAAAAGCAAATAAAATATTCTGAAAGAAGAGGAAATTTAAAATAAAAAAGTCTCACCTCGCGGAACTTTATCTGCACTATATATATTTTAAGGTGTAAAGGTGACCAAATGA